TTATTTCAACATAAAATATAACATATATTATAGTTATTTGACTCGTTTTTACGTGCATAATTCATATTTGAGGTACATTTCTTTACTAATCTAACATACCAAGCCTACATTGTTCCACAGATAACAATAATTTCTCACTTTCTCGGCAAATAAGTAAACGATTTAATTCTCATATATTATATTATTTTGACATACCATCAATTTTTTCAACTATATTCACTCTCGTCGTTGAATTATTACATGTTTCAACAACCAGAAACCCAAAATGCTTGTGATACTTAAGGTGCCCATGAAATCATCAGAAACCATCAATGCTCAAGATTTTGTTGGGTTGTATATCGTATATGAACCGAGGAAAAATGAGACGTGNATTAAGGTGCCCATGAACTGGGGAAAAATGAGCTGTCTTAACAAGTTGCTCCATTCATCGAAGAATTAGAGGTTAAAAAATTATTTTTTTCGGTGACCAAGACTAGGTGTACAATCTTGACTATTTCAGCACCACAGGATAACATATTTACAACCCATCACGGACGGATTATGATTGACTATTTCTCGATACAAACGATACGATTTGTTAACACGAATAACATCGGGGATCAAAATAAGGTTGGGTGCATATTAANGAAACCCAAAATGCTTGTGATAATTAAGGTGCCCATGAAATCATCAGAAACCATCAATGCTCAAGATTTTGTTGGGTTGTATATCGTATATCAACCGAGGAAAAATGAGACGTGTTCACACGTTGCTGCCAGCATTGAAGAATAGAGACAAAAATTGATTGTTTTCATTGACCAAGACTAGGTAGACCTAAATCTTTTGGTAAACCAACATGTCTCACGTTCATCTTCGAATCTTAAAGAAAAGATTTGTTGATCTAATGATATATGACATTGACATGATTTAATAATAATGTTGTTGTGGTCGTAACCGTAACTTCTTTATTGGAACTTTATCACTGGACACATCTTTTTTTTTTAGTTTAATCGTCGAGATATCCGGGTTAATTTACGTACACCCTTAACTAATTCCCTTTTTAATCCATTCAAATGCAGACCATTCGCACTTAAACTAAGGTATTTATGAGGGTGAAACCACGTTTAGAGCACTCTCCCGAGGTTAAGGATATATATATATATATTAATGTGAGTTAACAGTCAGAAATATTAATTGGTAAAATATACTAGTGGCCCCTGACAATGGGTTTGGTGACACTTTGAACCCCCTGACTTCTAAGTATTTTATTTCGGTCCTTGAATTTCTAATTCGTTTGTAAATAGTCAATTACTATTTTTTGTCCAAAAAATTAACAGTTATTGTTTATTGATGACTGCCGCATGTCCACTTTTATTAATTATTATCGAGTGGAAAACATCGATGGTCCTTATATTATGCCTTTGATGCCAAAATGCCCTCTCAATTTTAACTTGTCTGAAGTCAGTTCTTAAACTTGGGTAGCGTAGTAATTAATCCTTTCTGTTCAATTAAGGCTATAAATTTCAATATGACATGATAACATGTTTAGAACTCGCCAAGAAATTAACGGGTTATAATTGATTATTTCTTGACACGAACGACACGACGTGTCAACACCAATTATACAAGTTACCCAAAATTCACATAACTCAAAATAGGGGGACCAAAATAAGGCTGGTTGCATATTAAGTATGATTAATAGCATTTTTGGTACTTAAAGTGTGTATTTTTCGTTAATTTAGTTGTCATTTTATCAATTTTATTAATTTGATCCCTAAAGTATTCAATCATTGTCACTTTGGTCCCTAATCAGACAACTCATCAAGTTTTTTAATGGAAATGATTACGTGTCATTTTTTTAGACGATATCACGCATCCAATGCATAATCATTCCGTCAAAAATTTAATGGTCTGTCTATGTATAGACCAAAATGACAAGAATTGAATATTTTATAGATAAAATTGATACAGTGAGAGTTAAAATAATAATAAATATATACTTTAACAACTAAATATTTTATTAACCCTATTAAATAACAAGAAGAGAGATTATATTATTAATTGACCAAGACTAGAAAGAATATGAACATGGGGTGCACATTTCAACATGAGTGGTTGTTAATCCGGTTGCTTGCAAGATGAGCCATGAGAGTCTCACTGTCTATGATTTTCTCTTGCTAAGATCCCACCCATTCTACTAAACAATTAGCTACAAGCAACACATGTAACGTCCGGATTTTTTGGATGCATTAATTGATCAATCACAATAAATCAATAATACATTTTTAAATACAAAATTAGAGTTCTAATTATCTCAATAAAAATTTTAATTACAAATTTGATCTCCAAAGAATAATAAAATTTATAATTTTAATTTTATAAAAAAAATTAGTTATTATCTGTGCCTGAAAACTCAGAGTAATAAAAGATAATAAACAATAAACATATTTATATTTATATCTAAAATTAAATCACAAACATAGAAAAGAGATAAAAAAATTTAAGTATCGATTAGTAATAGAGATGAGAGGTGGGGGTGGGGGTGGGGGGAGGACTAACCGTGGTGGCGATAGTGGTGGTGAGCGCAAGTAAACAAACACAACCCATTGGACCATAATCAAACTCTGAAGGACCATAACCACTCCTCGTAAGCCATAATCTAAGTTTTGGCTTCCAACGTCACATGAATGATGGCACTTTGCTTGCCTCACATGAATAATTATCTATGTTTTTTCTTTAAGTCACTTCTCACATTCTTTTTTGTCTCCCTTTTTTCTTTTTCTTTGTAACACTTATCTTTCTAGAGTGCTTGTGTGTGTGTGTATATATTATGACACACACTTTTGTATGTATTTTATTCCAACTCAAAATATTATAATATATATTATAGGCATTTAACTCGTTTTCACGAAAATAATTCATATTTAAGGTTTATTTATTTATTTAAAAATTCTAAAAATAAATTTTAATACTATGTTTTTGCTCTCATAAAATCATAGTTAAAGTATTAACGACTAATTTTTAAGTTGGACATCATTTTCCTTGTAACGTTGTCACTTTTTAAACAGAAACTGCACTATTATTTCAACCTTTTCACCTTACTAAATAGGTACACCTATTCTCCATCTAGGTTGTCTAGTTCAAATTGAACTATAAATTAAATTTTCAAAAAAAAATAAATCAACTAAATTAACATTATCCAACGAATCTACTTGTAACTGCGAAGACAATTGATTTAAATTCTCTGTCACTGTGACTTCTCGGATGTTACAAAAATATTCTTAAGCTGCAATTAAACCAAATCAACAAAATCAAAATTTCACCACTTCAAAAAAAAATTGATTTAACTGATCTTTTTGTCGTTTTAATATCTATTTTGTACTATTCAAGTATTAAAAAAAATATGAACCTTAACAAGAGGAAAGTGATGCAAACAAAGAAAAAAATTGATAGTTGATTTTGAATATCATTTTTTTTTGTGCAATTGTTTCCCTTATTTTTTTTATTGGTCATTATTATTTTTTATTGGTAATTAGCTTGACTTTAAATTTTTTAGTTTTTTTTGTGCAATTAGTATTACTTGTTATTTTTTATTGGTGGGTAGCTTAGCTTTTGAATTTTTTGTTTTTTGTTTTTGTTTTTTTTGGTGCAATTGGTATCGCTTATTATTTTTATTTATTAGTGTTTAGCTTGACTTTGAATTTTTTTTATTAGTGATTAGATCATCTTTGAATGTCTACAATCTAGAAAAAAGAAATTAATATTTAAATATTTTCTCATCTATAAAATTTTACAAATATTTTGAGTAAATAAGTCAAATTAGGATCGTCAAGACAAACAAAATTAGCTCTATATCATAAATAAATTTTATATATAGATATAATAGTAAAATATGTATTTATATTTTTTTAATAGTAGAAAAAACAAAAAGAATAAAAAATATTTTTTTCATCTTACCAAACACAAAAAAATCAAGCATTCCTACTTTCTATCCCTCTTACCAAACACAAATAAAGAAAGTAAGAATTCATCTCTTGAAAGACATTTTTCGTCTTTCTATTTTTTCATTGTATTAAACGGAGTCCGTTTGGTATGATGAAAAAATATAAAGATAAAAAATTGAAAAGATGGAAAGTTAGAGGGATAAATAAAACATCATGTTTGATAAAGAAAGAAAATAGGAAGGATGAAAAAGTTGATTGATTAATTTTCCTTCTAATTCACCAAAATCAATCCCTCCAAAATCGAAAGAAAAGTGGATGAAAAGTTAATTATTTGTGTTGAGATGTATCTTATTTGTTTATATATTTTTAATATATACATATATTATGTATATATTAATTTCATATAAAAATATAATAATAAAATATGTATATATATATATATATTTAAAAATAGAAAAATTAAATTTAAAAATAGAAAAATTTTAAATTTTAAATAAAAAAAATATTTTGTCCATCTTAACTAGGGGTGAAAATTTTCAATTCAACACGATGACACAACTCGAACTCGATACGAATTTTATGACACGAACTTTGATTATAACTCAACACGAATTTGAAAATGACTTGACATGTGAACAAAAAATATAAAAGGCTCATAATTTTATGAGTCAACACGAATCTTACGCGACACAACTCAATTGCCACCTCTAATCTAGCCAGAACAAAAACAAAATTAGTTATTTTTATTTTTCATCCATTCAACCAAATACAAATGAAAGAAAATGTATCACTCCTATTTTCTTTCCCTGAAATGATAGAAAGTGTATTTCTCCTACTTTTCATCTTTCTCACTTTTCGTCCTTCCTACTAAATAGAGTACTAAAGAATAGGCATCACTAATGTAACATACCAAGCCTACATTGCTCCACAGATAACAATAATTTCTCACTTTCTCGGCGAATGAGTATACAATTTAATTCTCATATATTATATTATTTTGACATACCATCAATTTTTTCAACTATATTCACTCTCAGTCGTTGAATTATTACATGTTTCAACAACCAGAAACCCAAAATGCTTGTGATAATTAAGGTGCCCATGAAATCATCAGAAACCATCAATTTTAATGCGAGTCATTACAGCACACATGACACAGAATGGGCAAAGCCACAAGATGGGGAGATAAAAATCAACATTGATGCAACAGTTGGAAGAGTCAGATCATGCACTGGGGAGGTAATGGCCATGACTCTTGCCCAAGTTGACACAACAGAATCTCCAATGGCAGAGGCACGAGTTGCCAGACAAGCAACAAAAATGAATTGGAGTTATGCCACAATAGAAGGATATCATTCACTCAGCAACACCCTCACATGTCAAGACCCAGTGGTCTATCCTTACAATTATTCAATACATTAATGATCTGATGAAAAATTAGAAAGATAAAAAGTTAGAGGGATAAATAAAATATCATATTTGGTAAAGAAAAAAAATATGAAGGATGAAAAAGTGGATGAATTAACTTCTTTTCCAATTCACTAATATCAATTCCTCCAAAATCCGAAGAAAATTAGATGACAAGTTATTTATTTGTATTAACATGTATCTTATTTGTCTATATATCTTTATATATATACATATATTATATATACATTAATTTCATATAAAAATACAACAATAAAATATGTATTTATATATATATATATATAATAATAATAAAAAGAAAAAATTTAAATTAAAAAAATATTTTTTCCATCTTAAATAGGGTTAAAAAAATTTGACTTAACATGATGACACGACCCGAACTCGACACAAATTTTATAACACGAACTTGATTAACTTGAACACGACACGAAAATAAACAAGTCAACTCGTAACTCGACATGACACAATTAGTTAAATAAGTTGAGTTAGGTGTGACTAATGTTCGACAAAAACCCGTAATGACTCAACACAAATCTGACACGGCATAATCTGATTATCACCCCTAATCTTAGTCAGCACAAAAAAAAATAATCATTTTTATTTTTCGCTCATCCAATCAAATACAAAAGAAGGAAAGTGTACTATTCCTATTTTTCTTTCTTAAAAAATAAAAAATGTAACACTTGTACTTTTCATCTTTACTATCAAACGGGGCATAAGAGCACCTCTAGCAGCAGGCTGGATTGGAATCTAATCCACACGAGAGAAGCAAACTTAGCAGAACATGAGCTAGCACAATGGGGTTTAGTAACGAAGTTCACAGGGGCACTGCGGGCTAATGATATCTCTAGAGTGTTGAAGTATAAATATTAAAGTTACACTATTTTTAACAATTTAAGTTTTTTGAGTAAATTGTTGTTTACCATGGTATCAGAGTAAAAAGTCATATATTCGAATCTCGTTGTCACCCTAATTATTAAAAGAGTTTCAACGTGTTAAGCCCAAAATATAATCTGCACGTGAGAAGACGTGTTAAAGTATAAATATTTAAATTATAGTCTCTCCAAAAATCTAAATTTTTAGAATAAATGATTGGCAACATAGAGTACTACTGGGCAAGTAAATAAAGATGTAAACTTTTCCAAAGGAAAAAAAAAACTAATGTTGCTTGTCTTTTATGCTTTTTAAGTTGGACATCATTTTCCTTGTAACGTTGTCACTTTTTAAACAGAAACTGCACTATTGTTTCAACCTTTTCACCTTACTAAATAGGTACACCTATTCTCCATCTAGGTTGTCTAGTTCAAATTGAACTATAAATTAAATTTTCAAAAAAAAAAAAATCAACTAAATTAACATTATCCAACGAATCTACTTGTAACTGCAAAGACAATTGATTTAAATTTTCTGTCACTGTGACTTCTCGGATGTTACAAAAATATTCTTAAGCTGCAATTAAACCAAATCAACAAAATCAAAATTTCACCACTTCAAAAAAAATTTGATTTAACTGATCTTTTTGTCGTTTTAATATCTATTTTGTACTATTCAAGTATTAAAAAAAATATGAACCTTAACAAGAGGAAAGTGATGCAAACAAAGAAAAAAAATTGATAGTTGATTTTGAATATCATTTTTTTTTGTGCAATTGTTTCCCTTATTTTTTTTATTGGTCATTGTTATTTTTTATTGGTAATTAGCTTGACTTTAAATTTTTTAGTTTTTTTTTGTGCAATTAGTATTACTTGTTATTTTTTATTGGTGGCTAGCTTAGCTTTTGAATTTTTTGTTTTTTGTTTTTGTTTTTTTGGTGCAATTGGTATCGCTTATTATTTTTATTTATTAGTGTTTAGCTTGACTTTGAATTTTTTTTATTAGTGATTAGATTATCTTTGAATGTCTACAATCTAGAAAAAAGAAATTAATATTTAAATATTTTCTCATCTATAAAATTTTACAAATATTTTGAGTAAATAAGTCAAATTAGGATCGTCAAGACAAACAAAATTAGCTCTATATATATATCAATTACATATTATGCATAAATAAATTTTATATATAGATATAATAGTAAAATATGTATTTATATTTTTTTAATAGTAGAAAAAACAAAAAAAATAAAAAATATTTTTTTCATCTTACCAAACACAAAAAAATCAAGCATTCCTACTTTCTATCCCTCTTACCAAACACAAATAAAGAAAGTAAGAGTTCATCTCTTGAAAGACATTTTTCATCTTTCTATTTTTTCATTGTATTAAATGGAGTTCGTTTGGTATGATGAAAAAATATAAAGATAAAAAATTGAAAAGATGGAAAGTTAGAGAGATAAATAAAACATCATGTTTGATAAAGAAATAAAATAGGAAGGATGAAAAAGTTGATTGATTAATTTTCCTTCTAATTCACCAAAATCAATCCCTCCAAAATCGAAAGAAAAGTGGATGAAAAGTTAATTATTTGTGTTGAAATGTATCTTATTTGTTTATATACTAGCGATACCCCGTGACTGAAGTCACTAAATATTAAACTATGATACTATGCGTGTATTGGAGTGTGTGTGTATAGTTGGAGTGTATATATAATGTGTGTGTGTATGTAGTGAGTGTGTACTGAAGTATGTGTAGCTATGTGTTGTGGAATATTTGTGTTGGATTTGTAAACTTTGGGAGGGAAAGTGTGTGAAATTTAAGGGGAAAAATATACCTTCCATAAGTTCAAACACCTAGCTATCTTATTATATAGATTTTTAATATATACATATATTATGTATATATTAATTTTATATAAAAATATAATAATAAAATATGTATATATATATTTAAAAATAGAAAAATTTTAAATTTTAAATTAAAAAAAATATTTTGTCCATCTTAACTAGGGGTGAAAATTTTCAATTCAATACGATGACACGACTCGAACTCTATACGAATTTAAAAATGACCTGACATATGAACAAGAAATATAAAATGCTCATAATTTTATGAGTCAACACGAATCTCACGCGACACAACTCAATTGTCGTCTCTAATCTAGCTAGAACAAAAACATAATTAGTCATTTTTATTCTTCATTCATTCAACCAAATACAAAGGAAAGAAAGTGTATCATTCCTATTTTATTTTCCTGAAATGATAGAAAGTGTATTTCTCATATTTTTCATCTTTCTCACTTTTCGTCCTTCCTACCAAATAGAGTATTAAAGAATAGGCACCACTAATCTAACATACCAAGCCTACATTGCTCCACAGAGAACAATAATTTCTCACTTTTTCGGCGAATAAGTATACGGTTTAATTCTCATATATTATATTATTTTGACATGCCATCAATTTTTTCAACTATATCCACTCTCGTCGTTGAATTATTACATGTTTCGACAACCAGAAACCCAAAAACGCTTGTGATAATTAAGGTGCCCATGAAATCATCAGAAACCATCAATGCTCAAGATTTTGTTGGGTTGTATATCGTATATCAACCGAGGAAAAATGAGATGTGTTCACACGTTGCTGCCAGCATTGAAGAATAGAGGAAAAAAATTGATTGTTTTCATTGACCAAGACTGGGTAGACCTAAATCTTTTGGTACACCAACCTGTCTCACGTTCATCTTCGAATCTTAAAGAAAACAGTAATGGTGTTGGGATTAAAAAATTGATGTAATTTGTTGTCCTAAATGATATGGTAATGACGTAGTCCAATAATAGTATTGTTATGACGGTAACCGTTGAATTTCTTCATTAAAACTTTATCACTTGACACATCTTTTTTTTTTTCTTTTTTTTTTTATTTAACAGTCGGAGGTGTCCGAGCCATCTTATGCACACTCTCAATTAATCTCCTCCCTAGTCCGGTCAAAAATTGATCATTTATGCCGAGACTAGGGTATTCAAGAAGAATTTAATAAATCTCTCGTGACTTGGCCTTAAAGAGTTGTCAAGATTCAAATTCAGGACATTTGATTTTACAACTCGTCCATATTACACTTGAGTTACTCGTTAACACATCATTATGTCAATAAATTTTATAAATTTTTTAAATCTCAATAGCACTACTTGAAAGAAAGAAAAAATTTCGAATCCCACTGAAACCACGTTTAGAGCACTCTGCCAAGGTCAAGGTTAAGGATATATATATTAATGTGACTTAACAGTCAGAAATGTTTATTGGTAAAATATACTGGTGGCCCCGGATAAAGGGTTTGGTGACACTTTGAACCCCTGACATTATGTCAGTAAATTATGTCAAATTTTTAGGTCCAAATAACATTATTCTATTTCTATTCCACCATATCCCCGTGTAATAAATATCTCAAGCAAAAAAAAAACTAACATAGCACAATTAAATTCACAATATTTAAGTGATAAATAAACACAAGCAAATCTTTCTCTTTTATAAAACTCAAGAATTTATCACCATTATCATCATTCAACTCCGAGTGACACAATAAAAAATTTAATCATTAAATGTCAAATCCTCCACATATAAATATACACAAAAACACATCTGCACACATTTTTTTTTTAGTTACCAATAAGCCCTACTAACCAACAATTGTTTTTTTTATTAGAAATACTATAATTCAAGTTTTTAAAATAAAATAATATTTATATGACATTTAAAAGGAAGATAGATAGAGAAAGTTATAAGAGAGATAAGAGTTTTAGAGTTGTAAAAGGAATGAAAATTCAATTAGGACCATCAGATCAAAACGATCTACACCGCGAAAAACTTAAAACAAATAATCTAACTACTTTATTATATAAATATAATATTATGACACACACTTCTGTATATATTCTATAATTCGGAATCTTTATATGTTTAATATGACATTTTTATTCCAACACAAAATATAACTTATATTATAGTAATTTAACTCATTTTCATGTAAGTAATTCATATTTGACAAAAAAATGTGTAATATGGATAACTCTTGACTAAAATTCGAATAGCTCATGATCCAAATTATGTAATTTGAGTAACTTTTTGGATAAAAATTTGGTCAATAAATTTTCTGGGCAATCGTAATTATGATTATTTCCTGGTTTCTCACGCACCAAGTTTACATTCGTGAAAAACTGTTGTATCTTAGAGAATAGGCATCATTGATCTAATACACCGTGCCTAAATTGCTCCACGAGAGAACAATTAGTTTTTCACTTTCTCAACGAATAAATATATTGTTTAATTCTCATATATTATATTATTTTTACATATACCATCAATTTTTTCAACAATATTCACCCTCCTCGTTGGATTATTGCATGTTTCAACAACCAAAAACCTAAAATGCTGGTGAAAATTAAGGTCAAATGTTTCATACAAAGAAAGCCAGATGCCCATGAAATCATCAGACAGTATGAATCCTCAAGATATTTTTGGGTTGTATATCGTATATGAACTGGGGAAAAATGAGCTGTCTTAACAAGTTGCTCCATTCATCGAAGAATTAGAGGTTAAAAAATTATTTTTTTCGGTGACCAAGACTAGGTGTACAATCTTGACTATTTCAGCACCACAGGATAACATATTTACAACCCATCACGGACGGATTATGATTGACTATTTCTCGATACAAACGATACGATTTGTTAACACGAATAACATCGGGGATCAAAATAAGGTTGGGTGCATATTAAGTAGGGTTAATACTACTTAATATGTGTCACTTCTATTTGTATCAATTTGGTCTCTAAAGTATTTAATCTGTACACTTTAATCCCTAATCAGACAATTCATCAAGTTTTTTAATGAAAATGATCACATGTCATTTTTTTTAGATGGTATCACGTATCCAATACATAATCATTCTGTCAAAAACTTAATGATCAATCTATATAGAGACCAAAATGACACGAATTGAAAACTTTATAGATAAAATTGATACAATGAGAACTAAAATAATAATAAATATTTACTTTAACAACCAAATATATTATTAACCCTATTAAATAACAAGAAGAGAGATTAAAGTATTAATTGACCAAGACTTGAAAGAATATGAACATGTGCGGTGCACATTTCACGTGAACACGAGTGCTTGTTAATCCGGTTGCTTAAAAAGACGTGCCATGAGAGTCTCACTGTCTATGATCACATTCTGACCCTTAACCCCTTACTTTTTTAATCATTAATCATTAATTCCATCAATCATTAACCTAAGTTTTTGGCTATAAAAGCTTAGTACAAGTATCACCCATGACAAGGTAAGTAAATAAGGTAGATCAGGGTGTGTACTGTTACTGATTGAGCTTCTGAGACTCATCAGGAGCCTATGGAAGTGGTGAAGCATTTGAAGGAGGGCGTGGANTCCTATGCACTAAATACATCTTTTTAAATAAAAATTATGTTATTTATCTTCTGTGCACTACTTTGCACATACATATAATTGATGATTAGCATAGATCTTTTAAACCGAGAAGCGTCGAATTTACTGTTTCTTTTAATGCATGGCATGCAGGTACTACTCAAATTGAATGGTCTCTTTTAGCGAACAGTCTCAAAGTTGATGACTTGAGTGAGCAATTGAAGAATGTAGACATTCAAAAGCTTCTAAAAGCTTTCATCGAGGGTCAAGCTGAGAAAAATATTACTCTTCCAGTGTCTGACCAGCCATGGGAAGAGCAGATCACAGATTGGAAGCCTTTAAATCAAGTAGGGACTGAAACAGTGAATACTGACCCGACCCAAGAAACTGAAGAGGAAGTTACAGAATTAGAATTTGCAGTAGAGAAGATACATACCCACAATGTGTATTGTCCTAATTGCAAATCAGGCATTACAAAGGTTATTCTTCGCAGAAGAACACAAGTACACCCGATTCCATCTCCAGTTAATATTCCAGATCATGAGCCTGTGGGTCTTCTTGGATGCTTATCATGCCTAAGCATTTTCATCCCTAGAGGTGGAATTTTGAACCTAGCTCTATTTACAACTAGCCTTTTCTTTCATCCATATTGTGCTTTGAAGAACGTACTTACGCAGTTGATGTAGATAATGTTTAGATCATGAGAATGATGATAAATTTATTTGTGATCAATGATCCCGAGCACTCCAATGTGAAAAAAAAATAAGCTATACAGCCACCGCGAATTTGATTCTATGAAGTACTTGTTTCCTTTTTTATTACGATGATGGATTTGCATATAAAAACCGCATATATCATTATACAATGGAAGTTTAAAATCTAAGGAGACATACTATGATTCCCTAAATTCATTGTTAGCTGTTTTGTTCAAATTTATTCAGAGTTGTAAGCTTTTTGAAATATGTTGTTATGAGTTCTAATAGCCTTAACTGGCTACATGAAAAGGTAAGTAGACTTTGGCATGACATTACAGTCCTAACAAGTATAACTGTCTTGTTAAATGCAGGGAATAGTCTTAATCCATTCAAGATTTTTGGAAACAGAAGAGACGATGAACAACCACAAATTCCACAACAGACACCCGAGGCAGACACAGTTATTTCCTCATCTGCTGTGGCAGATGATCAATCAGTGAATAAGCTAGGTAATTACTTCTTTGCAATCCTTTATTTTATTTAACTCATTCAGGACTTACAAGTTGCAGCATTTAGCATTCTGGATTATTTTCTCTTTATGTTGCAACAATTTAGAACTCTGAATCTAAAAACTTCTTACAGAAGAATGCTGTTTCAGATAGCTGATCAATTTTACTATTTTCTTATGTTAATCAGGGGAATGCTTTAGTCTGTTTTGGATTTTTGGAAAGAGAAAAGAGGAAGAAAGCGCACCAATTTCTCAACCTACATCTTCTGAGCAAGGTATTGTGTGCAATACTTCATTCTATTCGACTCATTTAGGACAATACCTTACCTTGTGAGAACCACCACAATGAATTGGTCGTTACATCTACCTTACATTACAAAACATTAAAAACTCTCTATTCCACAAAAAATGTTGTGAAAATAATCTTTCTCCAGACAGCAGTTAGCAGAATCTGAGCTGGTTATTTACAATTAATTTGTTGCAATTCCTTGTCATGTATCTAAGCTAATATATTAACAGTCTACAATGTAGTTGCAAGTGACTTGCCACCCAAACCATTGGAACCTGGAAAATACCCTGAAGCTTATCCACCAGAAGGATGTACACAGCCAGAAGAAGTAATAATCGACGTAGAAGGGAAACCAGGTAAGGAGATCACCATTGTAACCCTGGCCTCCTTACTGCAAGTAGTTTTGACGAATGAGATTGTTTGTCCATGGGAATTATAACGCAGAAGCTAGTGTGCCATTACCACCTGTACAAGAACTGCCAGTCGGACCAGGACCCCTCCAGGGCTCTCAGGATGTAGTTGATGCAGCAAGACCAATATATTCACCTGAAAGAGAAGGTTCTAAATCAGTAGAGATCATCAAAAGCATTGTTTATGGTGGTTTAGTGGAGTCAATTACAAGCCTAAGTGTTGTGTCATCTGCAGCAGCTTCTGATGCTACCACATGTGAGTTTTTTTTTTTTGGCACATTTGTACATTTCTTTCTCTGCTTCTAACATTTCCTATCTTTTTTAAAAGTACCATAAAAAAATGTCATTTTATGAAAGTGGACCTAGTTTGTCATTCTAGAGCACCCCTTCCTTTACTTGGGATTATAATAAGTCGGAATGTAAATTTAGCCAAGCGGAACAGAAAAACAGAGTTTAAGAGAGTTGGGGAGTGTAGCATGTGAAGTATTAGTCGTCCAATCTTTGCGAAATTTGTGTATATCTCTAGAGAAAAAGGTTAATTCAACAACTATAAAACAGAGATGCCCCACACACACTCGCATATACACTTCATATCTACACATGATTAGCCACTTAGCTTTCTCAAATGATCAAAGCTTCTCTTGTTAGTTGTGGGGAAGAATAATACAAATTTTTTAAGTATTGTGCTGGTCTTTATGAAAAGAATAATATATTAGCTTGCGGGATTGTCTTAACTATAAGATACACATTTGTTTTCCTCTGAAATGTTTGCCCTTTCTAATATTGCAAACGAATTTTTAACCATTGAATTAACCGTGGACCCATTAAATATTAGAACTTAGTATTAATCCAACGACTACAATGAAACCACACCATTAAGTCAGATTTTTAAGTTTCAAAAACATTGCTCGTGCTCAAATGTCTATAGGGTAAAAAAAAAACACTTGCATCTAATATACAAGACTCCAATTTATAGTGAGATCAGAAAAAAATAAAGTGGTAGACTACTTTATCTATCTTTTTAGAGAAATTGATTCCCAAACTCTAACTTGCAGCTTATATTGTTTTAGCCTTTAGGACTTGTGTCGTCATTTTTTTTTTCTATTGTTTTGTTTCATTCAAAACAATGGCTTAATGGAATTTAAGTTGATTGAGATTAGAGTTATTTGTTTAGTTGTTTAGTTGTCTATCATTTGACTTACTGAAAAATTGAATATGTTTTTCACTCATAATTTCTCTCTGAGTTGTTGCAGCCAGCATTATAGCTATGGGACTGGCAAATTTGATAGGCGGACTTTTCATTATAGTAAATAATGTGAGTATTTCCACATGTCTTCACTCCATAATCTATATAATAAAGTAATTTATAATTCAAATTTTAAAAAATAAACAAAATGACTTTTACTATTTGTAGTTGAGATCGCTTTAAATTTACTTTAAAGTTAATTTAACAGCTAATATTAACACCTTAAATTTAATAAAAAAAATAGACTCATAAGGGTGTGTTTGGAGTGATTTTTTAAAAGTACTTTTAAAAATTTTCTCATAAATACTTTAAAAAAAATAGTGTTTGAAACCGTCTCACCACTATCTCCGCCACTGCCACTACCAACGCTACCATCGCCACCGCCGCCACCATTACTATCACCGCCACCACCATCGCTGTCGCTGTCACCACTACCACCATCGCCGTCACTACCACCACCACCGTCGTCGTCGCTGTTATCACCAACACCCCCACCACTACCATCATCACCGTCACCTTTGTTACCATCACCGTCACTACGGTCATTATCACCCACCATAACCATCACCATCTCCTGCCACCACCACTCTCGTCTACCACCTCTCACTCCCACTATAAACCGATATTTAAATTCATTTATCTCTTCTCTATGTTTGTGATTTAATTTTGAATATGAATACAAATATGTTTATTATTTA